CAAGATACACCCTAAATATTTAGAAGTGCAGAAGAAAACTGGATTAAAACTGCAGTGAAACAATATGTTGTATAGAGCACAAGGAAGAATGGTTACTTATTAAAAGAGAATGGTTACTTATTAAAACAACCATGATATGACAATATGACATTGCATTTTGGCTACTACGTAACCATATGCATTCCTTAATCATGTTTTAAATCAACACCATTCATTGTTGTGCAAAGGCTTGAACATTTTGAAGGAATGCAATACTGTTGTGTTTAAATTATGGGTTATAATGAATAGATTTAAATACCTGTTTTTCATCTAAAGAAACCCGTCTGAAAACATGAATTTAAATAGGGACCAAATCAGTCTATTCTAGAGTTGCAAGGGTCAGAAAGGGGGCTTTCTTCTTATCTTGTGTTTACAGTGATCTGCACATAGATAATCATGCAGACACAACTCAGGTTTGTTGCAGAACACCTTCACAGGCAGATGTGCACTTCTAGCAATCCTACCCATAAAGAACACTACCAGACACTTACCAGTCTGCATATGGTTAATGAGGTCTTTCTTCAGAGCATCAGCGCTGATATCAGAGTCGCTGTCATTGAAGTCACTGTCCCCTTTGCCACTGTCCTTTCCGCTGAATTTCTCTGCTTCTCGGATGGAGATGGTATTGAATGAATGTCCCTTCCACACTGTCACTGTGGGTCCTGTCTCCTTCCCGAAGCTAGGAGCTGTGGCATAATTCTGAGAAAGAGAATACAATTATAAGACTACTTCCCCCATCCATCCCACACATCCCTACTATCCCAGGCACCCAGTCCACCCTCTTACCTCGCTGTTAGTGGTCCTCAGTCTCTTCTGGGTGTCATACAGACACGTCCCAAAGGTGTCTTCAGTGCTGGGCACCTCCGGGGTGACAGTTGCTTCTGTTCCAGTGAAGGGGGTGACATTTGGAAAGGCATCAAAGAGGTTCGCCTTCTGATTGTCAATGAGCTCTTCGTCTTGCTCTGCTTTCTCTAGCTCGGATATGTCTCTTTCAGCCTTTTTGCCAGCCTTGTTCTCCTTCCTCCGTTTGTTGCAGGTAGTTGCAATGGTGATGATGGCCGCTAGGAGCAGGGTGCAACTGCCAGCAAGGACAATGATCACAATCAGGGGAATGTCCCAGTGGGAAACTTTCTCCTCCCAAGAACTTGGCTGCATGACTTCATGATTTACTGGAGGGGTGGCAGCAGTGACCAGGAAACTGACAGTAGCAGTGTTGGCCAGAGGTGGTCTACCATTGTCAGTCACTGTGATGATAGTCTTGAACACCTGGCCCAGGTCATCGCTGACATCTGCAGTGAGGAAGATCTCCCCTGTAAGCTTATTGATGGTAAACAGATTCCTTCCTTCTTCCGAAAGACTAAAAGTCAGTTCAGCATTAACCCCTTCATCTGCATCCTTAGCTTTCACCTGGGTGACCAGAAAGCCATGAGGAGCTCTGGCTGGTATGACCACCTCCGCAGAACCATTGGTCAGCACGGGGTTCACAATAACGGGTGCGTTATCATTCTGATCAACCATCCTGACCTTGATAATGGCGCTGCTGGTGAGCTGGGGAGATCCTCCATCACTCGCCTGGATCCTGAGGTCCAGCTGCTTGAGGATCTCATAGTTGAAGGTTCGCAGGGCATAGATAGCCCCAGTAGCCGGATCCAGAGACACATAGGTGGAGATCGGGGCTCCCATAACTTCTGAGTCGACTAGTCTGTAGATCACTTTACCATTATGTCCAAGGTCGGGGTCTCTTGCCACCACTGTAGTGATATAAGCTCCGGGGGCATTATTCTCCATGACAGACACTTCGTAAACTGGCTTGGCGAAGACAGGAGCGTTGTCATTCTCATCGCTCACCCTGATCGTGTACTGTTTGATGGTTTTAAAAGGAGGGGAGCCCAGATCCTCGGCTACCACAGTCAGGTTGTACTCTGCGATCTTCTCCCGATCTAGAGGGGATGTGGTGACGATCATAAAGCTATCCTCATAGGCTTGCTGCAACTTGAAGTGTTCGTGTCCATAGAGAGTGCAGTGCACCTGGCCGTTCGCTTCGGAGTCCCTGTCCGTGGTGCTGATCAGCGCTACGAAGCTGTCTTTAGCAGCCGCTTCGGTGATATAGGCGAGTCCCGCCGTGATAGATGTCAGGGGGGTGATGGTGATGGCTGGAGCATTGTCATTCACATCTTTCACATGCACGATGACTTTACAGGTAGCAGTCAGCGGGTTAGGACCCAAGTCCTGAGCCTGCACATCAAACTCGTAGGTTTGCTTCGTCTCAAAGTCAACCTGACCTTCGAGTGTAAGGCGGCCAGATTTGGGGTCTATTTTAAAGAGCTGACGTACCTCTTGAGACACCTGAGGGCTGAAGCCATAGACGATCTCTCCATTAGCACCTTCATCGGGGTCAGCAGCATTGAGGTCCAGTAAGAGGTATCCTACAGGAGCGTCCTCCATCAATTGCACAGTGACAGCGCTCTTCTCAAACACTGGGCTGTTATCATTAAAGTCCAGGACCCGCACTTTAATCACAGCGCTGCCAGAACGGGACGGACTCCCCCCATCCATAGCCACCAGTTCCAAAGTGTACGCAGACTGGCTTTCCCTGTCCAGTTCCTTCATCAGGACCAAGTCTGCATATTTAACCCCATCTGCCCTTGTCTGGACGTCAATGCTGAAGTGACTGTTGACCGAGATTTGGAAGCTCTGGATGGAATTGGAGCCTACATCTTCATCCATGGCTATTTCCAAGGGGATCCTGGTACCCACAGTTGCGCTTTCAGACACATCCACAGGTATCTCATCGCTGGGGAAATGAGGGCTGTTGTCATTGATATCTCTCACCTCCACCTCCACATGAATCAGCTTGAATTGCTCCTTGGCAAAGCTGACCACGTCAAGAGCCAGGATACAATTTAGGGACTGCTTGCAGATCTGCTCCCGATCTATCCTCTCCCCAATACTCAGCTGGCCATCACTCTCTCTAACACGGATCAGAGAGCTGTTGAACTGTTTCATCAATCGGAAACTTCCCTCCCGAGGTAGGTTGAGATGCATATCTTCAGCTAAAGTGCCTATGACTGTGCCAGGGTCGTCTTCTTCATAAGTCCTGTATCTCATAGTCTTGCAGGTAGATATTGCCACCAGTGCCAAAAAGCAGAAAAGCCTAAAAGGGGAATTCCAGGACCAAAACATTCCCTTTAGAAAAGTCATGGTGAAAGTGTTCTTAGCAGCCAGTGGTGATTGAACAGACTGCGATGCAGCGCCCTTATGGAGCCTGCATGTAGATAGAACACAAAATGTCACTGCCAGTCCTCCTTGTCACACAGTCTGTAGTTCTGAACGGGTCTGGACACTCTTCAGGGGGTTTTATAAGCTCAGACATGCAAATGAGCTCCAGGAGCAGCCAATCACAGGACAGCCTTTGACAACAGCCTCTTGCATTCTTCTCATTGCACTGATTTAACCATTTCCATGTTGCAAAGAGGAGCAATGAATAGAAGTGTCGCGAGTTGGCGGGCCACTTAGCAACAAAAGGGTTATTCTTAAAACAAAAAAACCTTAAAGAAGAAACAAGAAGCTTCTTTTGTTTGCATTAGAATGCATTTGTATCATTGCTATCGTGTAGCTGTAAAGGAGAAAACTTGAGCGCTTGGTTAAATACGGAGCTATGACATCTGACGTTGAACAGGTGCGTTGCTGGGTACTTATTTGTTGCCTTCAGATCTGCCTAGTTACAGAAGATCCAATTTTCATAAATAATGATTAGAACAGACCCCCCTTTTCCCTAAATGAGATTGTAAGATTACCCCCAAAATTCATTTTCTTCCAACCTGCACCTATTAGTGATTCGGTCGGGGGATCAGAACTGATATTTGCTTTTCAGATGTCTGCGGTGGGCTTAGTATGCATGTCACTGCCCAAGTGGCTTTCTTAAAGCCTCGGACACCGGCAGGCCGAAGACAGAATTAAAGGTTCCAAATAGGATTTAGGAAAAGCTGGAGGAGATTTGGAAAGGTTTCAAAGATCAGACCGTATCAAAGGCTTATCAAGCGCTCGTTAGCTCCGGCAAGAGAATGGCATGGCAGGCTATCCCATTCGAAGCGCCGACGTCTGTATTATTCCAACATGACAGGCGCAAAGGGAACAAAAGTTGAACAGTTTCCACAGAGGAATTGGACTTAGATGAATATAATGAGCCAGCGCCACATGTATCCATTCTGCTCCCCTATTCAGGCCCAATCACTGCCATAACTCTTTGGCTAAATGATGATGTGTGCTGAATAGGGCACAATGCCCCTCACCTATTAGAATGCGTTTAGTAAGCGATCCCTCCTGATGCTCTGTTCCGCCTATTTAGGGGATTTTCTTTTCTTGTGCTAACAGGGCCTCTCTGGGAAGTTACAGCAGTCTCGTTCCAGGAGCACAAAACCCCAGTAGGGGGGCTTCAACCTGGCACGAAGCTACAGACTCAACCATCTGCCTACACAACATGTACTAAGACTTATTACATAGTGCAGGGGATCTCCTGATTTTACCAGTCTGATGTACAGTAACTGGCTGCACGTGTATCACACATTATATCCTACCCCCCTTTCCATCTCCACACCAGGGGGCTTCTACCATTCACAGATTCCCCAAACTGCACACACACTCCACACAGTAATGAGCCTATGTTGAATGCACAGGGATCCAAGACCCTTCATAATCTCCTTGTAACCTACCATTCTGGAATACTGATACATCTGATTTGTGTGATCTTCTATGGGAGCTTTATATAGCCTTTCCTCATCAGATAAGCACAGCTTAACCAAATATAAGGTCTATGTAGGCGTTTTGCTATAGAGTCACCTCTGAGATTGTCAACCATGTATTATGGAGGCAGTTATTTAGACTGAAATGCCACCAGCCTATCAATTTAATAGGGGGCAGTGCAGTTGCTTCAACTAGTAGGATGCTTTCTCTAAAATATTTCTGAAAGCCTCAATGTCTGCCTTTATTTTCTAGAAGCACAAGTCAGACCATTAATGGAGGCGCAGGGTTTCTGATGCACATCCCTACTTCTTATGCACTAGAGCGACGGCTATTTAGATAGGCATAAGGTTTAGTTATATTTAAAAAAGGGACTTTTAAAAAAAGCCACTTTCAGGAGAATGGACTTATTCAAGGTAGTGTTATGTAGTGCATCACTGTATATGTAAAGAGCTGCAATCAAAAGAAAAGCAGCGACTAGGTTTGAGATATACTATGGCGCTCATTTACTAATGACAAATAGGCTGTCCACTTTTTTTTATCATTCTTTATTTATTAAGGCTGTCCACTTTTAAGGGACTTTCACTTTGCAAAGGAATTTTCCTTTAGTTTAGCGAATGTGGTGAAGCTCTGCTGACTTCCCTCGTCCAATCATGTGCAAGAAAAAGTAATTATTTTTACATTTTGCTTGAATGCGATTGGGTATTCTTTGCAAAGTAAATTTTTACCACGTTTACTAAGCTAAGGGAACATTTCCTTGCAAAGTGAACAACCTATTTGCCTTTAGTAAATCAACCCTTATGAATCAGAAGCGTGAAAGACAGATGCTTGCTGCTTTCTTTGGGTTACTGCTCTTTACTGTACTCTTTTTCAGACAAGCAAGTCTTTGTTTCCAAAACTCATCCACACTTTACAGACTATCTGTATATTGAGACATATAAATGACTATCTCAGTTACTGATCTGCTCTGCTCTGGTAGCTCCATCATCACAAACCATGTATGCTTATCTTCCCTGTATAATCTCTGATAGGCATTGTCTGAGTACTGAGTGGCAGAGCTGATTTACAGGGAATATAGCTAGAGAACAGGAGCTATGCTGTGTACCAGAGCAAGTTATATGCATACAGATTGCGTATGGTTTTCAATTCAGTCACATCCATTATTTCAATGATTAGGGCAGTGTAGTTACCGTCATGATGATTACAGTGTATTACTTTTTATGTGTAGGGAAATGGCTTAGCAATCTCTTTGAAGCATCCAGGCAGCTATTTTGATAATGTAATAAGGCTGTTCTACAAAAGAACGAACACAAAGCACATGGTGATGGCAGCGTCAACAGACTTCTATGTAAAATAGCACAAACTCATGAGCTCATGTCAGGTACATTCACTGTCCATTCTCCATTCTCTATCTGTTCTGCCTACCGGGGCCCTAGAAAAGGTGAAATGGGGTATAGTTCATAGCTGGGGTTTGGGTTGAATCTTGAAGACAACCACTTACTATCTTGAATAAGCTTGAGCAGCCCATACACATGAGATGATGGTTTCAAGATCCAACCCCTCCTCTTTGCATTGATTTCAGTGCTCGGAATCAGGCAGCTGGATCATGCAAGATTCAACAACCTAGCTATCATTAAAGCTGAGTTCCAGGCTGACTACTGCTGCCTGAGGAAGGGGGCTGCACAACACATTATGTGGTGGCACATTAATCACTATCTTGCTACAGCAGTGTGCTGGTGATAATCTTTAAATCTGAACTTTGGGCACCAAAACTTTCAGTTAAAAATATTCTCCAGTAGCCACAAAAGACACAAATCCATTTTGTGTGCAAATACCTTTGTCGTTATTACTTTGTAAAAGTAGCCGTGACATTATCACTGTGCTATACATAGCCGGTGCAGAGAGCAGAGCAGTGGGAGGGGTCCAGCAGGATCCACCCACTACAGGCTGCCTGCAGAAAACTACAGGGGGGGGGGGTGGACACAAGACCAGTCACCCTGAACAAAGAGAGAGAGCAGCAGTGACCAGTCTTTATAGCAGGAAGCTCCTGCACAGACTCAGTTTCACACTGGATTACTGCCCAGATCTGGAATTAATATACAAAGCATTCCAAGATTCAAGTAAGAATACACATGACTCTTGTAATTAAATTATATTTACTTAACCCGGAGTTCAGCTTTAAGCTGAAACATCAATGCTTGCAATCAAACAAATATCCGTGCTCGTGCTTAAGTGAGGAGGATGCTCTCAACAAACTGTGCCCTGGTACTAATCTCTCAGGATGTAAACCATAAATATTCAGCCAGGAAAAAGTGACCCAACCAACTGAATCTCCATCCAAGAACACACACACGCGTATTAGATGTCTAACATGTTCAGGTAGGGCCTGTAGACATGCAAAAGGTCCATGATGCCACCATAAATGGCCAAACTGGAAACATTTTCTATTATGTCTATAGGCAACTGTAAACATGTGCAAACAGCTGAACCAGATTTGATGCCCTGAAGGAGGTCAGATTGTCTTTACAAATCTAACTGTCCATCAAAAATCCTAACAATGAAATTCATTTATTTACTTCCTTTTGGTCTGCTTAATATACCATTAAAGTCATTGTGGTATCTCTGTTTGATGAATGCAAAAAATGCCTGTTGCTCCTGGTAGAAATCCAGTTCTCTCTGTACTATCATCTCAAGTGTTTTCGGCCAAGCCCAGTTTAAGACTGTGTACTAAAAAACACACCCATGCTATGGAGAAGAGGGAGAGGGGTTTTTAGTTCTGTCCTGGAGTGCCCAGGCTCCTTTGCCATAGATACAGTACTGTGAGTTAGCATTGTCACTTTTGGACAGAAGATGTCTTACTGGCCAGATCACCACCTTAAAATAAAGGCAAAAAAGCCTGAAAAAAGACTAATGCAGCCACCACATCCAGGGCCAAAGCTAGGGGGGGCATGTGCCCCGGATGCAACTTTAGGAGGGGTGGCACTGTGTGAGTGGATGGAGAACTTCTCTCTTGGGGGGGAGCAACTCTGAGACTTTGCCCTGGGTGAGAGAATGTCTAGCTTCCCCACTGACCACATCTAAGCATAGGTAGCTTGTATGCCCCCTCTCTAGCAACATGTTCTCCTTTACTTTACACTTCCACTGCACTGTTTATCTGCTGAGAGGGAGGAAGGGAGCCCTGTGTAAGCTATGAATTGCTCTAGTCTGACTCTCTCCATTCCCACATGAGACAGAGCTGGGCAAAGCACCAGTTTAAAATGAAAGTCTCATATAAAAAAAGTAAAAAAACCCAAAGATAAATGTTCAAAGTCCCCCGTCCCCACGTACACACCCATGCAAAAGCAAACACAAGTTGGATCGACCTACATGTGAAAACGGCGATTGCGTCACACATGTTACATATCACTGTGAACATGTGAGTGCAGGCAATAAT